TACCTACCTACCTACCTACCTACCTACCTACCTACCTACCTACCTACCTATATCTTTTAACGACTCTATAATCCCTTCCATTTGGGTGGAATCGGGATGAATGGAGCTGAGTATTTACTGGCCAGATGCCTTTCCAGATGCCCAAGTGGAGCTCACAGCATATATTTCCTCTTGGAGAGAAATATCTGTTGCTACTTAAAATCAAATCACAGCCTCCTGAGTGTAAGGTCAGAGCTCCACTTCTAGGCCACTACGCTGCTCAAGACAACCCAAATTGATATAATTAATTCAAAATTTACTAAAACAGGAAAGTGGACACATTCAGATATGGCAGAAATTGCTTTTTCCTAATTTGAGTTTGAATGACAGATCAAGATAATACAGCAAAATGAAACAAAACTGACACTTTATCTTTTATTCTGCTACCTTGGGTCTTACAAGAAATAAAGGCAAACTTGAATTGTTCTTGTGATAATTCTCCATTCTCTGCACATCCTCCTTGTTATACAAATGCTCAGTGATTGATTAATGGTAACTCTTGATCCTGATAGGATGGCAAGTAGGTATTTTAACATTTAGTGTGATTATATTGTATATATATTCATACACAATTTTATAGGCCTAACCATGGAGTTCCTCCAACTCTGATACTTTGTGGATTTATTAATCAGCTCTTATTCTTCTAGTTAGACATAATCTCCATACTCCTTGGGCCTCAAAAATGTAAAATACTAAGGAATTATACAAGTGAAATCAATTTCTAATGATAGTTTTATTCTTGTGTTACTTGATATGTATATTTCTGGAAGTTAAACTACTAGATTTAAGGGATAATAAAATATATTCAACTTCAACAATACAGTAGTTTTCTCATCTTTGTTGCCAGACATTTAAATGCGGAGCTGCTGTATCCAGTGACATTTACTACTGAAAATTCTTTCTGGTCTACTTTTTATTAAAGAACACCATATGCACCAATAGCAGTTTAAATAACTGGCCAAGTGAATATTTAGATGTTTGATTTGATTTGATTTATTATATTTGTATGCCGCCCTTTTCCCCCCGAAGGGGACTCAGGGCGGCTCACAATTCAAATCAGGGAACAGGGGTACAGACAAAAAATAATAAAACAAAACATAACAATGCATAATTTAAAAACACACAACAGTCATACCAATTCGAGACGGGGGCAGTAGTTCTTCAGCCCCAGGCGTGTCGGAACAGCCAGGTTTTAAGGGCTTTGCGGAAGGCCTGGAGGGTGGTGAG